TGAAGATGGATGCAGGTGTCAGAGCAAAGCAGCTACAAACCAAGGAGTGCCATGAACAGCCGGCAGCTCCCAGAAGCTCAGGGGAGGAAGGGAACAGATTCTCCCTTAGAAGCAGCAGAACGAATCAAGCCTGCCGGAACCCCGGTCACAGACTGTAATCGTGAAGAACAAATTTCTGTTCTAGGCCACCCAGTTTTAGGTAATTTGTTATGGAAACCCCAGGAAACTAATACAGATGGTAAAATTACTGGGTAAAAGTTTAAACAGAAATATGATACTTGGGTATTTGCTTAATCTCAAAGTAACTTCACTCAAATATCTATAATACAAAGGAGAAAACAGTAACTTTATCAAAGCAAAACCTGTGGGCACCAGCTTCACCAGTGATGGGAAGTTTACATAACTGGTAACACATTGTCCTGTCCCACTCATTCTTTCCCTGCTATAAAGCCTCCATCTAATCATAAGAAACAGCTGGAAAACACAAGTTGAAAGGCATTCTACAGAAGAATGACCAGTACACTATAAAGTGTCAGGGCCGGGTACACTGATCACACACGTGATCCCACCCCTCGGGAGGCGGATGGATTCCTGAGCTCACAGGTTTGAGACCAGGCTGAGCCAGAGTGGACCTCATCTCTAAAAAAGCCAAGCATTGAGGTGGGCACCTGTAGTCCCAGCTACTTGAGGCTAAGGCAAAAGACTCTCTTATGCCCAGGAGTTTGAGGTTGCTGTGAGCTATGATGCCATGGCACTCAACCGAGGGCAACAAAGTGAGAATCTGTCCCCCTCCCAAAAAAAAAAAGGGCAGCACCTGTAGTTCAGTGAGTAGGGTGCTAGCCCTATATACTGAGGGTGGTGGGTTCAAACCTGACCCCAGCCAAACTGCAACCAAAAAATAGCCGGGCATTGTAGTGGGTGCCTGTAGTCCCAGCTACTCAGGAGGCTAAGGCAAGAGAATCACCTAAGCCCAGGAGTTGGAGGTTGCTGTGAGTTGTGATGCCACTGCACTCTACCGAGGGCGATAAAATGAAACTCTGTCTCTAAAAACAAAAAAAAGAAGACCCCATTTCTACAAAAAATAGAAAAATTAGCTAGGTGAGGTGCCATGTGCTTGTACAATCCCAGCTACCCAGGAGGCTAAGGGATCACTCACGCTCAGGAGTTGGAGTTTGGGTGGTGGCTATAGCTCAGTGGGTAGGGTGCCAGCCACATACAACAAGGCCGGCAGGTTTGAACCCAGCCCAGGCCAGCTAAAACAACAATGACAACTGCAACAACAAAATAGCCAAGTATTGTGGCGGGCGCCCAAAGTCCCAGGAGGCTGAGGCAAGAGAATCACTTGAGCCTGAGAGTTTGAGGTTGCTGTGAGCTGTGATGCTATAGCACTCTCCTCAGGCTGACAGCTTGAGAGTCTGTCTCAAAAAAAAAAAAAAAAAGGAGTTGGAGTTTGTTGTGAGCTAAGATGTCACTGCACTCTAGCCCAGGCAAGGAAGCAAGACCCTGTCTCCAAAAATAAAAAATAAATAAAAAGATTAAAAAGTGTCAAAACCGTGAAACACAAGAAAATGCTAAGGGACAATTATCACAGCTCAGAGACTAGAGCTAACAAAAAACAAAATGAGAGATCCTGGACCAGCAAAAGGATACACGCCCAGACCCAGTTGCAGTTTAATTAGTGCTGTGCCCCTGTTGACCTTTCAGTTTGGGTCATTGTTCTATGATTATGTAAGATGCCAACACAAGGGGAAATGGGATGAAGGACACACAGAAGACCAAAATTGTCTCCAAATTAAAAGCAATATTAACAGGCATACCTTGCTTCTATTGTACTTTGCTTTACTGTGTTTCGCAGATACTGTTGGTTTTTTACAAACTGAAGTTTTGTGGCAAACTTAATTGATAAGTGCTGTCAGTGTCCTGACTGTTCTACCAACTGGCCGTTTCCCCATTTCTCTCCCTCTTCTTGGGCCTATTCCCTGAACAACATTTAGATTAGGCCTATTAATAACCCTACAGTTGTCTTTAATGAAAGAGTCACATGTCTCTCTCTTTAAAACAAACTCTAGAAATAAGCTTAGTGCGGAAGGCTTGTGGGAAGTCAAGAGAGGCTGAAAGCTAAGCCTCCTACACCAGTTCACCAAGCGGTAAATGCAAAGTAAAAAACCGTTCTGGGAGGAAATTAAAAGTGCTACTCCAGGACGGTGCCTGTGGCTCAAAGGAGTAGGGCACTGGCCCCATATACTGGAGGTGGCAGGTTCAAACCCAACCCCAGGCCAAAAAAAAAGTGCTACTCCAGTGAACCCATAGGTGATAAGAAAGTAAACAGCCTTATTACAGAAAGTTTTAGTGATTTGGATAGAAGATCAAACTAGCTACAACATTCCCTTAAACCAAAGCCTAATTAATACAAAGCAAGTTTGAAACGCTCTTCAATTCTGTGAGGGCTGAGAGAGGTGAGGAAGCTGCAGGAGAAAAGTTAGAAGCTGGCAGAGGTTGATTCATGAGGCTTAAGGAAAGACCCAACTCTGTAACAGAAATATATGAAGTGGAGCAACAGGTGCTGATAAAGAAGCTGCAGCAAGTTACCCAGAAGATGGAGCCAAGATCACTGATGGAGGTGGCCGCACTACACAACAGATGTCCCAGTTTACAAAACAGTCTTCTAGGACTTTCGGAGCTGGAGAGAAGTCAACATCTGGCTTAAAAGCTTCTAAGGACAGGCTGACTTTCCTGTTAGGGGCTAAAGCATCTGGTGACTTTAAGTTAAAGCCAGTGCTCATTTACCATTCTGAAAATGGTGGAGACCCCAGGACAATTAGGCTAATTCTACTCTGTCTGCACTCTACAAATGAAACTACAAAGCCTCAATGATAGTACATGTCATTATATGATAGCACGGTGTCCTGAACATTTTAAGCCCACTGTTGAGACCTACTGCTCAGGAATTAAAAAAACAAAAACAAAGATTCCTTTCAAAACATTACTGCTCCTACTATTAACACCATGGTCACCCAAGAGCTCTGACAAGGTGAGTGTTGTTTTCAAGCCTGCTGAAATCCTGTAGCCCATAGTTCAAGGAGTAATTTTGACTTTCAAGTCTTCTTATTTTAGAAATACATTTTGTACACATAGTGATCCCTCTGATGAGTGTGGGCAAAGTGAACTGGTAAACCTTCTGGAAAGAATTCACCATTCTACACGCCATTAAGAACATTCATAATTTATGGGAGGAGGTCAAAACACCAACATTAGCTGGGCTGATTCCAACCCTCACTGGACGACTTTGAGGACTTCAACATTTCAGCGGAGGAAGTAGGATCAGCATGAAAACTAAAAGCAGAGCCTGAAGATGTGACTGAATTGCTACCTTTTCATGATCAAACTGGAACAGAGGAGGAGTTGCTTATTATGAATGTGCAAAGAAACGTGGTCATTCCATCTTGAGATGGAATCTACTCCTGGTGAAATGCTGTGAACACTGCTGAAATGACAACAAGAGATTTGGAATATTACATAACCTCAGCTGATAAAGCAGCAGCAGGGACTGAAAAACTAATTTTGAAAGAAGTTTTACTGTGGGTAAAATGCTACCAAACAGCATCACATGCTACAAAGAGACTTTTCATGAAAGAAAAAGTCGACATGGCAAACTTGGTTACTGTCTTATTTTAAGAAATTACAGCCAGCTCGGCGCCTATAGCTCAACCGGCTAAGGCGCCAGCCACGTACACCTAAGGTGGCGGGTTCGAATCCCCA